ATAATAAATCTTCCCTCCAAATCTATTTCCATAAATTTTATGTTTATTTTTAAATCTTTTGCGAAAAATATTGCAACTCCTCCCTTTTTCTCCTCCTCTCTAGAGGAACAGATTTTTAAAGGATAAGAACTGCTGGTCCATCTCTTTTCATCCTGTTTACGCCAATGTGTCTCTTGGACCATAGCAATTTGAACATGTTCCTTTTTTAAATATTCTTGAAAAGCTTGTCTTTTTTGAGGAATATTTAGACCTTGAATATTTAACGTTATTATTTTAACCATTATCATATATTGTTTTCTTGTTTGGATAGTCTAGTGAACTCTCTAAGAAATAAAAAAAATAAACAATCACATTACAATACATACACGAAACATCTTCAAGTATACTAAGTACTTGAAGTCTTTTTCCTATCATTCCATAGACTCTAAAAAGAGTCAAAAAACACTTTCCTTGGTGGGTTTTAATGCCCACTTTTAACCTTTTACAGGTTACGGCGAGGGAGGCTATATCTCGTTTTGGAGGAACCAAATATAGATTTTTCTTTATCGTTCCCTACTTCCTCTTTCTTCTACTCTATGAAGATTATACTTCTACCCCTCTCTTCTCTTCTTCCTCTAATGCGAAGAGAAAAAAGGAGGTGAAGGCGAAGAAGAGAGAAAAAAAAAAAACTATTTTTTTTATCTATATCACATTCTTTGATCCCTTTAACTTGTTTATATTACTACTATTATCCATTTATATATACCATGGTAACGAAGCGAAGGAGAAAAAAAAAAAAACATTCTTTGCTTATTAAGTGCCCTTCCTTTCCCTTTAATCTTTTTTCCATTCTTATATACGTGTTTATATGTTTTGTTCTCTCAGCAATTATTAATTTTAAGTTATTTACCAACACTCCTACATTCTATTTCTTTCTGTTTCCCTTCTTCCCCCTTTTCTCCCTTTCTTCTTTTCTTCTACTTCGTTATTCTATATTCTATTCAGTGTTTGTGTTTAATAATTATATTAAAAAATTTCCCTTTTCGTTCCCTTTTCTCCCTCGTACCTCTAAATTTCTTCCCTTTTTCATCTTGTGCCCACTTTAAATATTTTAATTTGTGTTCACCTTTTATATTTATGATGTGACTCCTTACATTTACTATTTTCCCCTATTATTATCATGAAAAAAAAAATTAAATTTTTTTTACAAGATTATAATTTTTTCAGTGCCATTTCTTATATCTATCTAATGTACCATTGTGCAGTTGTTATTCTAAATTTACCACTTTCTCCTCAAAAATTTAGTGTGACATACATACTTTCAACTAATTTCCTCAAATATTTCTTATAATTGAATTACATTACTAACATATACGTGTTTTCTATTAACTTATAAATTCCTTCTCTATATTACTTTCTCCTTCATTAATTACAATTTCTTCACTATATCTTCAACATGGTGTTTCAATGTCCTTTCTATTGTTCTAAATTTCTTTGGATCAATTTATTTCTCCTTATACTTTAAATCTTCAAACGACTTTCCATCCCCTGTCACTTCTTCTCTTCTCCTCCTTCTCTCTCTTCCTTATCCGCTTATATAAAGTAATTTCTCTTTCTTCCTTAGCCATTCTTCAATCTGAGATGGGGTCGTGAATGTCTCACGTATTCCTTCTGTAATTATCTTTATTTTACTGGGGTAGATCCATGAATATTTTATATTTAGTCTTCTTAGTGAACTAGTAACCGTCATAAATTTCTTTCTTTGTTGTCTGGTGTAGAAAGATAAATCTTGAAATATCTTAATATCGCCAAGCTTTTCTGTATTGAACTGTTTTGTTCGAGCTGCATATAATATAGCTTCCTTAAATTGATAGGACTGAAAATTAATTATTATATCTCTCGGTAGTTGTTGAGAAACCGAACTAGGTTTGCTTAAGCGGTGGTATCGCTCCATTTTGGTATTTAGAGTTGACAATTCTATATTGAGTGTTGCCCATAAAGTATCAAAATACTCAGATATTTTATCTTGTGTAATTGCCTCTGGAACATTTCTTATTCTTAGATTGTTTCTTCTTGAACGATCTTCTAAATCTCCTAGTTTTCCTTCTATTTGTCTCATTTGATTATACAGCTGCTCATTTTGTTCTTTATATGCTCTGTTTTCAAATTCCAAAGCTGTGATTTTTTCTTCACTTTGCTTTAGTTTTTCCAATATTTCCAGAAACAGTTTTTTTGTTTCTGCTGTGTTTTTATTAAATTCAGCAGTTATTGCCACCAATTGTTCTTCTAAACATTGTTTTAGAAAATCTGTTGTAATATAATTTTCTGTTTGGCTGGATGGACTTTGAATAGATTCTTCGCTTTTTGATGAATACATGATTGAACTTTCAAGATTTTTTTTCTACATTAGATTTTTGTCCAGGTGAAAAGAAACTTGAAGGGTTTTTATTTTTTCTATTTGTTGATCTTGCTTTGCTGCTTTCTTGATGGCAGCTTTTCCTGATGACTTGGTTTTTTTTTTTCCTTCCTTTCTTCCCTCTTCCTCACACCCCCTATTTCTTCTCCTTCTCCTTTAATTAGAGTTTTT